ACTTGGTACAAACATTTTCAAAAGCTCCCAGATTCCAAAAATAACCAGGCATGGAACTGGGATTATTCTCTGATCCAAAATATCAAGAGTGAAAATAAACTAACCAACCTGCATGCCATGAGCACAAACTCTGAGCTGGCCTGGTGAAACTCAGGTGCCTGCCAGGTGGGTCAAGAAACTGCACAAGAACCATTAAACTCACACAAAAGAGATGAATTGTGGAGAGGAAAACAATTCAATATGCACAGTTTTTAAAAAATCTCTATTATTCTCTCACAAAAGTCAAAGACTTCTCATTTTCATAAAAACTATCTCTGAAGTTCATATAGCAAGTTTTTGGAGCATTTCCACCATTAAAAAAAAAAAGGCATTATCTTTCTATTCTAGAGATAGTAAAACAATAGCAACCAATCTTCTCATTTTCTTTGTGGCCAGAGAGGAATACGACATATTAGCTCAGGTAGACAGAGGGACAGTTAATTTTAAAAAGTACCTGAAGTAAATTTTTTAAAAAGTCTTATGGAGGGCTGGGGTTGTGGCTCAGTGGTAGAGCACTTGCCTCCCACATGTAAGGCACTGGGTTCAATCCTCAGCACCACATAAAGACAAATAAAACAGAATAAAGTTATTGTGTCCATCTACAACTAAAAACATATTTTAAAAAAACTCTTATAGAAACGTCTTCATTCAGTAAAATAAGGACAACATTAGAGGATTTTATGGCACTTTATATCTGAAATTACATTAATGGGTTTAGTATGTTTGATTTCCAATTGTAATTCAAGTTCCATAGTTTTTCAAACTCTTCACAGTTGGAAAAATAAGAAGGTTTTGTGAATTTGTTTTGCTTTTTTGTTGCAGACAGTATGAATACAAGATAATATTTTTCCTCTGATTTTGCATGTTAATTTAATAGTCCTTTTCAATTCCCACTGGACTCATAGAGTAATAAAGCAATCTAGGTGATCAGGATGGGGAAAGGGAGAGAAGAAGAAAAGCTATTGTGGAAACTTCCTAAACCAACTTACCATGGCTGAGAATGTATTTATTTCCCAATTTACAAGGTTAGAAAGCCTTACCCTCTGTTCATGATAACCTTGCACCATCTTGACAAGGATTCAATTCTAGGGTTCTTAAACCTTCTCTGTGTTTCTCAAGACTGTTGTAATGACCTCTATCCCTTAGCTACTTTTTATTTCCCCAGACTGTATAACTCTAGGCTTTAAAAAAAAAAATCCTTATTAGACATAACAAAAAGTCCTTCCTATTGTCTAAAAAGCATAAAACTTTCATGTAAGAAGGATTTCAATTGAATTAATTCAAAATTTAACAGGATTGTCCTCCCCAAAACTTTCAAAACTTTCCAGCCCTCTGGAACAAGAAAATGGGGTCACAGGTGTCCCATTCCTCAGTGTTTAGCCTCAAGAATAAAAGTCATCACACAATAGTGATATATGCATACCCAAGTTTATAACAGCACAATCTACAATAGCCAAGCTATGGAACTAGGCTAGGTGTCTGTCAATGGATGAATGGATAAAGAAAATATGGCATATACACAAAGAAAAATGAAATTATGCCATTTGCAGGAAATTGGATGGGACTTAAGACCATCATGTGAAGCAAAATAAGCTAAGCACTAGAAAGTCAGAGATTTTGTTTTCTCTCATACGAAGAAGCTAGAGAGGAAAAAGGAAATGAAAGGTGAGGGAGATCAGTAGAGTAGAGCAGAGGAAAGGAACGAGGGTGAGGAGAGAAAGGAGAAATACCTAAGAATGATATTGGCCATATTTATATTATCGTATTGTGTGCACGTATGAATGTATAACAATGAATCCCACTATTATGTACCATTATAATGCACCAATAAAAATACAGAAAAAGAAAACGGGGTCAGTAAACATTTTACAATCCAAAGATTTGCTGATATATTCTTTTTCCTGTAGAAAGAATGTCTGTAACACATCAGATTTTCATATATCTGTGCCCCTACAAAAGGTTAAAGCATTGCTACTATCATGGATTTGGGGGATCTGCTTTATGGCCATCATCAAACTCTGTGGCAGTTAAATGTCACAGTACAGTAGGCATTTAGCTCAAGTAACAGCATTAACTACTGGAGGATATTCCTGAGAAAACTTGGGGTTCTGTGTAGGGCGTAGGAGTCAGAGTGAAAGAATTCCAGTAGAAGTTCTACTACTAACTTGGTGGCTGAAGTTTGCAAATCACCTCCTCTCTCTGGGCTGCAGATTACACATCTCAAAAGTTAAGGAGTTGCACTAAATCTGTGGTTTCACACCTGACCAGTGATCCTTTGTAAAACTCTGGATCTCGGGACCCCAGCCACCAACAATTGACTCACTTGGAGTGAGCACATTGGAATTTGACTATTATGTATTTATCCATTTATTTGCTTATTTTTGTACTGGAGATCAAGTCCAGGGATACTTTACTACTAAGCTATATCCTTAGCCTTTTTGCTTTTTATTTTGAGGCAGACTCATGCTAAATTGCCCAGCTAGCCTCAAACTCTCAACTCTCCTAAGCAGCTAGGATTACAGGCATGATCCACCATGCCTGGCTTAGAATCTGGACTAAAGCTTCTCTAGACATTCTGTTATCTCCTAGGTGTGGAAACTATCGTGGCAGACACTCTAGGGTTACATCTAGCATTAAATTTTTGAATTTCCATTAAACTTTCCATTAATATTTGCTATTAATATTAGCCACTAATACTAATATTTCAAAACTAATATTTTAAAAATCTGGATCATCATGAATGGTTATTAGAATAGATCATGGTACCCTTTTAAAAACATAAGTGATTGATAACCACATGAAAAATATTTATTTAGAGAATTTATCATAGCACAAGGAAATTACTATCACATATATAACATATGTATAGCATATATATTGTGTGTATGGGTGTAAGCATGTATGAACTATACTTGATTTTGCTTGATTCTTGACCATCAGTGAGTTTGGTAAAAGATGAGAGAGAGTGACCTCAGGTCATTGAAGCAACAAAAAGCAAAAGGAATAAAAGTATATTGCAGGCCAGCCACTTTAAAATACATGATTGCATTCAATCCTTGTAACAGACAACCTGTGTTCATTTTCTTTCTCCTAGTCTTACAACCATGAGCAAGTCATTTAATTCTGTCTAGGCCTTTTGTTTCCTCTTCAGCAGAATGGAAATTAAAAATACCTATCTCATGGAATTGCAGTGAGAATTAATGGACATAATGCCTAGGAAACACTTATCAGGGTGCTTATCACATGATGAATACTTAAATAATTAATAGGTAATAGAATGATAAATAACTGTGATGTTGGCTGTGAGATCTTACTACTCAATGTTTGCTCTGTGGCCAGAAACATCAGTATTACCTGGCAGCTCACCAGAAATTGATCATTTTGGACCCTACCCCAGACACCTACATCAGAAGCTGCATTTCACAAGATCCCTGTGTGATTCATGTGCACATGTATATTTGAGTAGCACTGAGACAGTAAAACAACTTGAGACCCAGTGAGTGACCTGAGAGAATGTATACCACTACTAAGCCAAGGTACTGAGAGCACACCCACATCAGAAAATCCTAAGGTCACCATCTCTCTCTCATCCTCTTTGGGCTTCTATGACCAGGCAGTATTCAGGCTTCCTAAATCCACTGTGATGTTTTTGCTCTAGTCTAAGCTGTAACTGAAATGCTTTGTGAAACACATTTTCCTGTCTACCACAGTAACAAGAGCATCATAATTTTGTTTAATTTTTCACATTTTTAATTATTCAGCTGTTTTATTTGTCACCATTTAGGGAATTATTACAAAACTTACGTCTAAAATGCTTCTGATTAATGCACACTTAGGCAGCTAAACAGATGTAGAATGGGTTGACTGCTTTGATAAAATTAAACATTGATGAAACATATATTTGCACAGCAATAATGATGACGGCATTTGTATAAATAATAACAGATCTATTACCCTAATCATCTAGGAGAAAAAAATGATGAGACAGTGACAGAATTACCAAATATGTCTGGCTTACTAAGCGGATCATTTTCAAGTGCATTTTTTTTTGCATGTGAATAAAATTATGATAATTTATAGCATCTACAACCACATTAAAATGAAAGTAGTATAATTAGGCAAAAAAAATATCATGTGGATGATATCAGAAGCATATTTCCAGGACATGTTAAATTTCTAGAGCTTCTGTATACATAATGGAAGGTACAGGTTTTTCATACAGCCTTCCCCAGTACCATAGTTTAATTTTATAAAAGATGTGTCCCAAGATCAAAGTTTTAAGTATTCTAAAATACTTATTAATATTTAATTTCTCCTCACACATTTTAGCATCTCTGAAATTGAAAAGTGTTCGTCTTCCAATCGATGACATGTCACAATTTCTGGGCAACATTTATTTTTTTTATTCTTGCAACCAAAGGGATCTTGGATTCAATTAAACAGGGGATTAGGATGCCTAGTAAACTTAATCCTCATCCACGAGAGATACATCATAGCAAGGGAAACAGGTGGGGCAGGAGGAGATATCATCCTCCCACCAGAATTCAAGCAAGAGGGGGAGGTAGGTAAATAGGAAGTAATGAGATTAAATAAGAAAAGAATCCACAATATGAAAAGAATTTAGCATAAGAATAGGAAAGGGGAATGGGAAATGAAAACTAAAGGAGTGGAAAAGAAGGATGAGATGGACAGTGTATCCTGCGGTAGACATTCAGCTTGACATTCTTTTTTTCATTATGCATACTGGTCAGTTCAGGTCCTAGAGAGTGGGGTGGGGGACATGTTTTCAGCCCTTTTGGGAAGGTATTTTCTCCTCCTTAGCCTACATGAATAGCTGCACAGCCAACCACACACATACACTCCCTGAAGATTCCCGCTCTCCTCTATCTCCTACCTTTTATCCATCCAAAACCACCAGGAGAGGCTGAAGTGATTGTTAAAACTTGTGTTTGTTCTTTCAGGTGATATCAAGATTATCGAACAAATCCACAGTCTCACAGGTATGGCTTTTGCTAAAGAGCTCAATATTTATCTAAAATTGGGAGGATGTCAGACATATCTTCCTTTCCCTTCAGGGTTTTTTACATTTACTTTTTACTTTCCCTAATCTACTTCCCAATAAGAGATGTGGTAACTGACTTTTTTGAGAAGAAAGTGTAAAGAAGTATTTAAACTCATCTCTCTGTGGAAATGATTTATTCTGTTAGGAAGTTGTTTGTTATCAACATCTAACAGGAATAACGAATATTGAGGTATTGATTTTTATAAGCACTTTCCTTTTCATTTAAAATTGGCAGTCAAGTTTTTCTTGTAAGTATTTATAATATTAAAAATCTGGTTCAGAAATGGTCTGGAAATCGGGTTGTTTTTTTTAAAAATATATTTGAACTCTTAAGACAGTCCCAATTTTAAATACCCTCCACTTGCATGGAAAACTTTTGAAACAGCAATTTGTCTGATTTATTAGCTAGACGTTCATTAACAATAACCTTAGGATAGTGTCATTGTCAGATTTTTCACCACTGTGACCAAAAGACCTGACAAGAATAATTTTAAGGAGGAAAAGTTTATTTTGGGACTCACGGTTTCAGAGGTCTTAGTCCATAAATAATTGGCTCCATTCCTTGGGATCCAAGGTGAGGCAGAGCATCATGGCAGAAGGGTATGGTAGAGAAAGCAGGTCAGGACACATCCTTAGAAAAACAAAGAGAGATTGACTCTTCTGGAACAAATTATATACCCCTAAACCATGCCCCCAGTGACCTATCTTCTCAAACCACACCCTACCTGCCTTTAGTTATCACTCAGTTAATCACTACTAGGGGATTAACTCACTGATTGGGTTAAGATTCTTAGAACCCAACCATGTCACCTCTAAACCTTCTTGCATTGTCTCACACGTGAGCTTTTGGGGGGACGTCTCATATCTAAACCATAACAGACTGGAAACCTACAGATAGCAACTTTTCTTGCTTTGTGTCTTCCTTGAAGCAGAAACCAATAACTTTAATACACACACATACAAACACACACACATACACACAACACACAAATAGATCTAATTACACATTTATTTTAGTGAGTTTTGGTCACTGTGACCAATATACCCAATAAGAACAACTTAGAAGGAGAAAAACTTATTTTGCTTTCCAGAAGTTCAACTCATGGTTGGCTGACCCCATTGCTCTGGGCCCAAGGTAAGGAAGAATATTGTAGCAGAAGGGCTTGGTGGAAGAAAATTGCTTAGTTCATGACAGCCAAGAAGCACAGACAGCTCTATTCACCATGGACAAAATATAAACCTCAAAGACACACCCCCTGTGTCCTGCTTCCCTCAGTCACACCCTACCTGCCTGGAGTTGCCACCCATTAATTCACTAACAATCTACTGATGAGGTTACAGAACTCATATTCTAATTATTTTACCTGTGAACATTCTCCATTGTCTCACACATGATCTTTCAGGGGACACTTTATCTACAAACAATAACATTCTGCCCTTGGCCTTTGAATAGCCCAAAAGCTCATGCCCATCTCACAATATATTTAGTCCATTTTCAAGATTTACCATAGTCTTCAAGAGTTCCTTCATTGCCCAAAAATTCAAGTACAAAATATCATCCGAGACTCAAGGCAGACTCCTGACTGTGAGCCACTATAAAGATCAAAAGCAAGTTACATATATACAATAATAGTGGCACAGAGTAAACATTTCCAAAGGTTTAAAATAGGGGCATGGAAAGAAGGGATGAAACCAAAGGAAAACCAGAATTCAGCTAGGCAAATAAGTCCTATAGCTCCACATCCAGCATCTGAGGCACATTACATCATGATTGTTCCCTCTAAAAGACTTGTGTAGCTCTGCCCTGTGACCTTACTGGTTGTAACTCATATGGCCTCTCTCTCGGACTGTTTTCTGCAGATTTCCTCTGAAGATGTTCTAAATCTCTAGCATCTCTTAATCTTGGGAGTCTCCACCACAGCTTTGACTTCCTTCTCACATCTTCATGTATTGCCCTCTCAGGGGCTGCCTACAGGGATTCTGACCCTGATGCACTTTGTCTGGCCTCCCAAGTCCTCCTTTGAAATCTTGGTAAAAGCTTCCATGAAGCCCCAACTCCAGAATCCTGCATTCCTGTAGAACCAGCACCATAGAAATGACACAAAGTACTGCTGCCATATCAAGCAGTTATAAGCCTTGAACAGCTGCAACAACCTGAGTACCTGGGCAGCTGAGCACAGTGAAATAACATTGTAGGTCCCCCTGTATAAGCAGGGTGCTTCCATGATCTCTTCTCAAAGGGATTTTCACTCTTACAGTCTTGAACCTGTAATGGATATGGTTTTACCAATTCCTGAGATACCCTCAAGCCATATTTTCTATTGCGTCTTTGTAAAGTACTTTTGTGGCTACAATCTCTTTCACAACCACACCTCTTTTGGCCCCACTTTGACACACACTTTTCTGGCCAAATTGAAAGTTTTAAAAGTCTTTCCTTTCTGTTTTCTGTTTCTGATTATGAACATAAACTCAGCTAAAACCTGCCAGCAATATGCCACTATGTAAATGCTGTGCTGCCTCAAAATGTCCCCCACCAAATTAATTTGTCCATCACCTTTAAATTCAGCCTGACAGAAAATCTCAGAATCTTGACAAAATGTAGGCAACTCTTTTTTTTCAGAATATAACACAGATGGCCTCTAGTCCATTGCAAATAAATCCTCCTTCTCCTCTTAAACCTTATAAGCCCAGTCTTTACTGTCTACAGTCCTATTGGCCTTCTTGAGCTCCCACAGAATCACCCATTAAGCTCTGATTAAAACATTCTAGGCTTCCCCAGCCTGCATCTCCAAACTTTTTAAAAATTCCTACACAAACCAGTTCTAAATGCTTCCAAAACCCTTAGGTTAGTCTCAAAAACAACCCACTTCCAGGTACCAATTTCTGTTTTACTCTTCTTTGTGTCACAATAACCATCGTGCCCAATAAAAACAACTTAGAGGAGGAAAAGTTTATTTTGACTCAAGGTTTCAAAAGTTAGGCTGTGGTTGGCTGACTCCATAGCTCTGAACCCAAGATGAAGGATATCATGGCAGAAGGGTTTGGCAGAGGAAAGATCCTCAACTCATGACAACTAGAAATTAGAGGAGAGAGAGTAGAGAAAGTGTTTTGCTCACCAGAGACAAAATATAAACTCCAAAGGAACATCCCCAGTGGCCTACTTCTTCCTATCATACCCTACCTACCTACAGTCATCATCTGTTAATCCATTCAAATTATTAATCCACTGAGTAGGTTACAGCTTTCATAATCTGATCCTTTCACCTCCTAATATTTCTGCATGGTCTCACACATGAGTTTTCAAGGGACTCATATCTAAACCATAGCAATATGACAAAGACATTGATAATTTAATGATGGTGGGGCGGGGGACAGTTTACTTTTAATATTGCATCAGAAAACTTCTTAAAAGCTCTTAAAGCCTCTCATTGCTTTCAACCACACTTCTCTTTGAAACTAGTTATCTCTTTCATCTATACAAAAAAAATCACCAAAAAAAAAAAAAAACGGTCAGTCAAAACCAACCCCACCAAACAGACAGCCCTCACAAAAAAAAAAACAAACACCCACACAGACCAAATAAACTCCCGCACGCACAGAAAGAAAGCAGGCAGTTTGTTTGTTTGTTTGTTTTTTCAAGTGGATTTCTCACCCTTTTGTAGAATTGCAAAGATCAGGAACCCTTCCAGTAATACAACACACTTAACTTTCAAAAGTAAATTCTGGATAATTTAGGCTGATGTTCATTGCAATGTTAAAAATCACCAGAAGAGCCGGGCACAGTGGTACATGTCTGTAATCCCAACGGCTCGGGAGGCCAGGACAGGAGGATCAGGAGTTCAAAGCTGGCCTCAGCCAAAGTGAGGCATTAAGCAACTCAGTGAGACCCTGTCTCCAAATAAAATACAAAATAGGGCTGGGAATGTGGCTCAGTGGTCAAGTACCCTTGAGGACAATCCCCTGTACGAGAAAAAAAAAATCACCAGAAGAATAAGTGGTTTAAAAACAACAGATGTTTATTTCTGTCTATTGGAAAGTGCAGAAAAGAAATATAGCTACTCTAGTGTGTCCATAGGGTCCCTAGATTTCTTCCTTCTGCTTCATCTGCCTCAACATATGGCTGTCTTTTTCAAGATATCCTTATTCTCTAAGATGGCTGCTGAATATCCATCTATTTTATCAAGATTTGAGATTGGAAATCAAAGAAATATGAAAGAATGGAATAGAAACTCCCCTATTCTATTAGTCTTTCTGAAAGTTCCTCAGAACCTAGTTGCTTATATGCCATCATCCCTAAATGTGACCTTATGGCCAATCCAACTAGCAGGGGAAGCTGGGAAAAGGTTATCTTTGGGCAGGGTGCATTGCTAATAGTTATGTTAATGGATACGAGGGAAAAGTTCACAGAAATAAATAACCAGCACCTGCCCTGATATAAATACTTTTTTCACCTTCTTCATGATCATCATCATGGCATGGACTAGTGTTTATTCAGCTTTTTCTTTGTACATTGCTCTGTGCTTAATTTCTATTATTTGATATATAATATTTTCCTCACACTATTCCTAATTTACAAGTGAAGAAACAGATTTTTAGTAGTCATATTTCCCAAGAATAACAACTCACTTATAACTAGAAAGGACTTCTAGAACTCTTTGACTAAACTCTCTGCATTCAACCTCAAGACTTTGTTCTGCTTCCTCTCTAATCAAGAAAGATTTGTCTGGGCTGGGGTTGTAGCTCTGTGGTAGAGCACTTGCTTAGCATGTGTGAGGCACTGGGTTCGATCCTCAGCCCCATGTCAATATACATAAATAAAATAAAGGTATTATGCCATCTACAACTGAAAGTATTTTAAAAGGAAGAAAAGTTTGTCTAGTCATTTCTAAGTTTAAAGTGGCTATTCCAGCGAAATGTCATGAACCAAGTTTGAGAGTTCTTTAGCAATGAGTATAAAAACCTCATTGCTTATATGAAAGTATTTGCTAGAAAGAGAATAAGGGATAAATCAAATGAGGAGGAAGAGATCCATGGCTGAGTTTTAAAGCAGTGTGTAACAGGTGAACCCAGCTACATAAGGGAAGCAAGTATTTTTATGTAGATGACCTGAGAAAAGTAACTGGTTCTCCTGCATAGAAGCTAATAATATAGAGCTGGGTGTCTAATCCAGTTATTACCAATCTAATAAACTTCAGTCCTGTCTACAGTAATGGTAGGTAGGATAATTCATTCTTGGTGTCAGCAATGTCTGATGCCTTGATTGCAAGACTCAGTTTCTGAGCAACTCCTCCAAGGCACCAACTCTCTTTGACAACATGGAAGTATGAAATTTAAGGAAATTTGTAGAAGTACAGACATTTGCCAGGTCATTAGTCAGATGATTGTATTAGAGCCATGAAGACTTGAAACAAAGGGATGACGAAATTGTCAGTATAAATACAAATAGTTTCTAATTAGAGAATTATTCAGTGTGTTTCATTTCTTTGTTAAGTTTGCCCTGTTGTGTCTTTAGCTGGATAAGCTAAATTTTCAATTCCACCATGCTAGTACACAAATGTTCTTCTATAATTCTGCGTGGTTCCAATTTTTTTTAGTACAGAGTTTTAAAAACTGTGAAAAACAAAAAAAAAATGAAAGCAATACCAAGACTATGCAAGAAAGAACATACGCCTTTACCATCAATTAAAATAATTGTATCTAGTTGGAAATGGGGCTCTAGGAATACCATTTCATTGAGAAATTTTGAGCCATTTAGATTAAAATAATAAAAAAAAATTCATGAGTAAACCAATCATTTGTAGCTATATCCTAAACTGAATGACCTACCTGTGAGTCACAATTGTTTGCTGTGTCTGTCATTACAACTATTTTAGACATAGAAAAATTCGAACACCCCAATGAACAAACTGTCCACTGAAGTCATAACTATAACAGCTCATGAGATTTAAATAATAATCTTAGGGATTTTCAGATTTTAATCTTATTTTCATTAGAAATATTTGCAAGCATATGTAAGTGATGATATCTTCAAAAGAAACTGAGACACATAAAAATGAATTGACCTTTTTAGAATGAACTGCCTTCTGAACATGCCCAGAGAAACTAAGCTATGTTGGGGTCAGAGCAAGAGACTAGTATAAAAACCTAAATTAGTGGCTCTGTTCAGAGTTACTAACCTAATTGTAATAGT